TCAGATTTAGATTGTCTACCACATGAAAGAGAGGCACATAAAAGATCTCTGGGGACAGGGAGAACATATTAAAAATATCAAGAGAGAAAAAAGCAGGGCAAATAAAAGAATTGGAAAATTTTAAAGGCACTGAGTTTTCCAATAGTTACAAGGAAAATGAGGATAAAACATCAAAAATCTAAGAGAAATCTATGTAGATTAAGCATACAAATCGAATTCTAGTACAAGATCTTAATGTATTTACCTCTCATTTATCTTTTCTCAGGAAGTTTCTTGGAGAAAAGCTCAAAGGAAGGCATGGATCCAATAAATAAGACAGTCAAAAGCATTCCTAGAATGATGGTAAAGGAAGATTCCAGGATTATAGCTGTTCAGGAAGCACAGAGGTAACTGGTCCAGATTGGAATAGAAGGAAAGAGGCTGAGGAAAGGTAAGTAAGATTGTTTGGGTGTTATCAGATATAGACTTTTCCTGTCATTTTTGGAAGTTGTATTTTTCAAAGACTTTATCCACTTCAGTTGTCAAATTTGTTGGTATAAGGTTGTTCATAGTATTCCTTTATTATACTTTTAATATGGGATCTATAGTGAGATTCTCTTTCATTCCTGATATTTTCATTCTCATTCTTCCTTATTCTCCTCTCTTCTTTACTCCTGCCCCCTTGGTCAAGATAAAACTTTTTCAAATTTCTTGATCTTTCAGAAGAAACACTGATTTTCTGTCTTATTGACATCAAGATTCACTGGAAAGCACAAGGTGTTTGTCAAATCCTTTCAACTTTGTGAGATTCAAATTCCAACTTTTGTCTAGTGACAGACAGCAGCTAAAATCTCTATTCATTTTTTTTCAGGCTTCCAGCTATTGCTTTCCACCAGGCTCCCTGAGGCCTCTCACGAATACGTGAATTTCAGGGTTCAGGCAAAGATTTCAGGGAGTTTACAAGCATATTTGGTATTTCTCCTTTGTAGTTCTTTCTTTCTGAAATTTCCATCCTGAAGTTTCAGCCACTGACTTCTGACAACTCAACAAAATTCAACTGTTTTGAGTTCTATGTAACCCAAAATGTATGAATTGTTAAGTAACCATAATGAAAGAGTCATAAAAGTAACCCTCACCTTGTATTTCTTTCAAGGATTGAATGCCTTGTAATAGTTTCTGCCTCCTTTCAGTGTTATAAAACACTCTTCAGTGTTTTAATTTTGTTTTTTAAATATATACCCAGATTTTATCTTTGCTATCTACAGGATAATTCTGATATAAATTACTCCATTATACTTGTAATTACAGCTTCATCTCATTAACTCATGCTAAGTTTTCTACATGGGTTAGTGGGCAGAACTGATGATTAAGTCAAATACCTTGGTTCTCATGCAAGAGCATGAGCTTTTAAATCAAATAGTCTAGCCACAGAGATCTGTTTATTCATGACTTTAGAATCACAGTTCTGGTTGTTCGATCTCGAAGCTCAAAATCTTAATTTGAATTGATGCTTTTGGCCATCTATATATCCATTTTTCATTTGACAGATCACAAACTTTATTAGTTCCTCCCACCCTTTTCTTTCTTTCTTTTTTTTTTTATTGGTACATTATAGGTATACAATTCG